ATGTGCCCAACTTTCAGTGTGCGTCAGTGAAGACGACAGGATGTGTCGAACAGGACTCACTAAGTCACCTACAGTGAGAGCCGCAGACACACGAAGCTATAAAGTTTTACGAAATTTGTTTGCACATATTCCAGATACAGTTGCAGAATAAGTTTGCAGGGCAGGGAACAGGAGCTGATGACGGAACGGTAGCCACTGGCCACAAGTCACAATTAAAACTAACCGGATGGCCAATGGCTGCCAGGCCAAAGACTTGTGTGAATACATGTATCCCAACCGGATATTAAAGAGAAATAAAATAGATTTAGAATTATAATTACAAGCCTCAACTATTTCTGATCAATTTTAAAATATTTATCATACACAAAGAACGACTAACAGATCGTTTGCCCGTTTCGACCTCAATCTGTTAAATCTGTAAGGCTATGGCGGGGAGTGCCAAGAGATGGGTTCAGATCCGGCGGCCTCGCATGATTCATGGGAAAGAGCCTGTCAAAATGTTCTGTAATTGCAGGGGAGGAACATTTGTTTGTTTTTACTGTAGGTCGTTTTCCATTTGAAACTAATATTTTAATGTTGCATAGAAATGACAATAAAATTTAAAAACGTGTTGCGGCTACAAAAACAACGAAAAGCCTCACAAAGGCACTTCCAAATATATCTAGAGGTCGCGGGGGCCGTTGACAGCGTGCTGGGCCAATACTAGAGGGAAAATAAAATGTCGTTTATAAATAGACTTTCGAGAATTAACGTCAGGCACATCAGTTCCAATCGTTGTTCTAAAGTGCAACAGGTGTGCGGCTTAGGCCGTGTGTATATATTCTCTTTAGGGCAGGGGATGAGTGGGGGCAACAAACTGATAAATCAGCCTGCGCGAGTCTGAGTGAGCACCAGATAGCACATCAATTGACCACACACAATCCCCGCAGTCTCGTCCATCGATTGCATTTCAGTCTGTGTGCCATAAATGACGCCAAGTGAGTTCCGATTGGAACTCTTGATCTGCTCAAGAGAGCGGCCATTCACTGCCATTGGACTCAATCTAAACTGATTCCTAAATGAGTTACTTCTTAGTGTAATAGTGACTGCATAATTATAACCACGCAGTATGGACTTAGGTATTGTACTCTGCATGTAAATCGGCCCAGCCAGGCGGCGTCTCATGAGAGCCCGCCACAGGCGCCACTTGGGGCACGGTTACGGCTCGGCATGCCAGGCACGTTTGGGTGCGCCAAATAAATTTGAATTTTTTCATTAGACCAACAACAACAACAACAGCAACAGCAACAGGCACAACAATAATATCGTAATAGGGTTGTACACAAAGAAATCAACTCAAGATTGCGCCTGCTTTTGAACTTGGGTAATTAACACGACTTCAAAACGAAGCAACAAATTATTCGACATTGATGGACACTGTGCTGGCAGCTCTTGAAGCTGGTCTGGAAGCGCCGTCTGCCACCAAGTTCTATTCCCCAAAAATAAATGCTCTTTGCTAACAACTCACGGCTGTCCTGAGCCACCTGCTAACAACTGGTAATCTATTCCAGCTTGAGCATATTGAGTTCATGTGCTGCGTGCCACAGATTTGCTTTATTTACGGCTGCATATTTGTATTAATCAATCCAAAAAGAGAGTCCTGTTTTGAAGGTGCCTGCCTCCTTTAACCTGAATGTAATTCTAGCTGAAAGCAAAAATTGCTTACTAAAAATGAAAATTCAAGCTATTAAATGAGTAAAAATAACATATATAGTATCAGAAATAATAATCAAAGAATTTAAAGAAGATAAAATTATATAATGCAACGTGTTTCCGTCTTATTCCGCATTCTGTATTCTGTCTGTCGGGACTTAACTAGCGTCTATATATAATATGTCTATACATATATAAGTATAATAGTTAAAAAAAGAAGCCTTAGCAAAGTGGATAGATTTAATGCAACATCTTTCTGTCTTCCTAACTAAGTTTGCTTCTTAAATGGAAGTATGTGTGTGGTAGCTGTCTGGCGAGACTTGACAATTTTGTTGCCTTCAGCCAGAAAGGATGAACCTCTTCAGCTGTTCAGGGCGTTCAACGTATTGCAGACAACAAGAATCCATTCATAGCATCTGGCTTAATTGAAGTGTATGCTGTTTTCTTTTGACTCTACTCCAAGTTGCACCATAATTACTGTAGCTTAGCTACGGCTTGGCACTTGCTTACCACAATTTGCCGGCAGTCGGACAAAGGGAGCATCAAGGGAGCCAGTGTGTGCTCTTCGTGGGAATCGCCAGACGAAACTGAAATTTGTTTGCCTTTGGCATGTGGAGCTTGATGCGCACGAGCATGGGAATTCCCCATGCATACACACATATCTCGAGACGCGCTTCCGAGGCATTTCGGCGGCATATCCTTAATAATTTGGAGCGACGGCGTCAACTCTGTCGTCTGTCGTCTGTTTTTATTGCCGCGTATATTGCCGCTCATAACTTTTTAATGTGGACGTTTGCCCTCTGCAAACAAGTGCCGCTCTGATGCCTGACAAAAACTTCTTTCGCAATGCCAAACGGATCCCCTACCCAACACACACACATACAAACATTCAAGCATTCATGTGCCATAAGCAGGCGTATTTATTCAGCGGATTCAAGCGATTCTCTTCGGCCGCTCATTGCAGGATACGCACTTTGCTTTGCATGTGTGTGTGCGTGTGACTGTGTGTGTGTGTGTGTGTGCGTGTGTGCAGTTGCTACCTTGTCGCTGCGAATAGGCTTATCTTGCGTAAATGCCGCCGCAAGCAGCAATCAAAAACGCATTTCCCCCCGTAATTGCGAGTGTCAAGTTCATTATTTTATATTAAATTTGACCTCCACGTCAAACCTGCCACGCCGCACACATTAGGTTAACTGTTAGTGCTTAGTACTCTCATATATATAAGTATTTATACACATATATATTTGCATATCCTACAAACACTCACAGCTAATTTGATATCAAGTCCTTATTATTAGGCGCATTAATAAAAGATTAAAGCTTAACTCAGTATCAAATTTTGTTTGTATATAATTGCCAATTGCAAGCAATAGATAATGAATGATGTCAAACAATGCGTATTGCCCTATATCCTTTTAATTGGATCGATATCCACAGCCTTAACTGAATTTTTAAAGCAATCTTTGAGAACAAGTTTGGGGCCCAACGAGATGACAAAAAAAAAGGTGAATACAAACGCTTTACACAAATTTTCTACACTTGCGGATAGAATATCCAAGAATATCCATCATATAAGGTATTTACAGAAAAAAGTTAAGTTTCCCAGCTCTTATGGTTTGGCTTCTATGTTGATCAATCAGTCAGACAGTCGAGACAAGCTTCATAAATATATATATATTATACATATATAGATATTGCTTCGGATGATTAATTCATTATAATTTAAAATATTGAAGGTTTGACATTCGATTATGTCACCAGATGTTGTGCTTATCAAAATTCTCCTACTTATTTAAAATGCACCCACATCACTTGACATACACAAGGGAATGTGAAGGCTCGTGCTGCGCTCCCCTTTATATAAGTCCACATTTTCCCAGAGTTCCTTGTCGTCGTCGAAGTAAGAAATCAAATTCCGGAAAACAAATTCACAGAATTATAAACAGATGCCACAGCGTCACTAACCAAAATAATTTCTGGCATTTGCATATTGCGATTATCTGAAAAGGACCTGCGCCTGTTGCTCGGTGCCTCCCCGCATTCAGATTAAAAGTAGGCACACAGTGTTTTTTATATTTTATATTTTATTTTATGGCGTAGACTCCCTACTGACAATAGCAGAGACAAAGGCACCAGCAGCACACGCGGCACGTACGTGTCAAAAAACGTTTTGGAAGCCATCAATCTCAAGGCACAACAACGACAGATGACAATCAGCGAGCAGCGAGGTGAAAGCAGAGAGAACAGAACGAAAAAGGCAACTTCTCCAATTGATTATCGCATCAAGTTGTTGGCATGTTAGCGAAGGAGCATCAAAGTTTCTCCCTCCCCCGCCGCCGCCCCCCTCGATGACATGTGATGCTACACAAGTCCGAACTTTGAGCAGCGTAATTCCCTAAGGAGCATTTTTATGGCTCTCCACATAAAACTGCTGCGTTATACTAAAAACAAACAAAGTGTAAAACAAGTAAGTGGAGAAATCTCGTCACGGAGATCCCTGCCTTGCAGCCAGAATTATATTGATTTAACATTTAGGCATAATATTCGGATATGACAAAAATTTGATATTTCATTTGTGAATTGTACATCCGCAATAAAACTAAGCTTATGCAACAACAAAATGCATATTAACACGAATATATCAAATTGTTTGACTGGAGGCGAATTTCCTCACACGTTCATGATATATGAGATTTCCAAATTTCGATATATTCGGCATTTGTTTGGCATATAGTCATATATGTATGGCACATCTTACTTGTCCATTTTATGGCTACAGGGTATGCATTACATGACATCGGAACCAACAGTAGGCAATGGGTTCTTAAAGCACCCCAGTAGAATAGAATAAGAAGGAACAAAAGCCGCTTAAAGCCGTTCACTCGGAAGGCAATTAAAATTGTAGCTCCTGATAGTAACAGATTGTTCAGATGAGCGTAATATCTTTGCGGTAAACAAAGTAGAGTCGCAGCCCGGATTCTTATGGGGGGTCAGGTCTGCCTGATGGGTATTTTAGAGTGTTAAGTTTGCACATTTTTCATCGACTTAAGCGGGCGAATGTAAATGGGAAGTCAGAACCTTAATGAACTCGCCGCGCCAGATTCAAGCAAATCAACGGCACAGAAAAATGTCAAATAACAACTGAAATAAATAACAGATAAGAGACATAACCGCGCCTGAGAGACAAAGGACACATTGTGGGAGCTTGCATTGCCGTTCTTGTTGTTGATGTCATTTTGCCAGCCACGATTCGGGAAGGCACTGATGTGAGCCGAGCTGTAAATAAGGAAAACGATAAAGCCACTTACCCAATTTCTCGCCGCACAGAACATAGTCAAAGGACTGCGCCAATATCAAGGCCAGCAGTGCGAGTCCTAGACGCAGGCAGCCGGAGCGAGAGCGCGTGCGGGTCCGGGTTCGGGTCTGGCTGGCTCGTGGCACCTCCATCTCCATCTCAATCGTGTAGCCTTCGCCGTGGGGCGGGGCTGTGACCAGTTAGCAAAACGGAGTCCTTCGTTAGACAAAGGATTTCTCTATGTAGTTAGACGTTCTTTGCAAGTCCTACGCACAGTTCTTTTGCGCTTCGACAGCAGCAGTGCTCATCTGCAATTAGAGTCCAGCCGCGACGTTCTGGGCTCGGAGCCGTTCTGCTGTCAGCTCCCTAAATGGACTTATTTCCGCTTCGCTTGAGGCTCTCGGCCAACAGCTGCATCAGAGCATATGCTAATAGACCCCACTCAAAGGCCCAGCTCAATTGACTGAATGTGTCAGAGCTTAGATTGTTAGATTGTTTTTCTTTTGGCTGCCTGCCTTCAACTTCTTAACCAAATATCGCATATATTTAAGAACTTGATCTGTTTGTCGCTTTCTCTCCGCTTTGTTCAGTTCTCCTTAGGCCTGAATCGTGCATATACAAATCTTGAACTCCTTTTTTGGATCAAGACATATGTATATTCCGCTATTTCCACTCGCAGCGAATGGGCTGGGATTGCAGTCAAAGTTCAAGATTAATATCTGAAAAAAGGAAGAGATAAATGTTAATGGAAACTGAAAATATGCAACTATAATGAGACGTTCCTAAGTGTTATTCATAAGTAGCTTATCTTGTTTAATTACAGGAAATTCATGTTAGTATTGAAGAGAAAATGTGGGATCGTAAGGTTATAATGGTAGAAAAATCCAGCTAATCCAGTTCTATAAAACTATTTCATTTATAGGTATTTTATTTTTTTAATTATTGCAGGCAAATAGGATTTAAAAGAAACTGAAATAATTTTAAAGTGGATGGATGGATAGGTAATGCGTGGCTAAATAGTCCTATAATTATATTAATATATTTATATATTGTTTTATAACTTACAACTTTTCCGTTTATGTGTAATCCAATGTGAGTTGAGACTTGCCTTGTCTATGAGGCATAGTATTATGATTCAGACAATTCCAGACGTATTCAATCAAAGTCGCACTTAAGCCCGCGTTAGTTGCCTTATTTCATGACAATTTGGCTTATTATATTTTTTTCGGCCTTCACATCACTGTCAAAATCTCTCATTTATTAGGACAATTTCTTGCATTCAAGACGACGCACAGCACGGTTCATAAAACTTTGTCAGGACAGGCTTTTCGACAGGCAACACCAAATTTATTTGAAATTTCTTTTCTATCGGGCACACTTCTAAGCACACAAATGTCTATATACTTGTATATTTGTATATTTGAATGCTTATTTATCACTTAAGTAGCCTTGGCTTTTGTTTGCTTGGATGAATCTATTTGTAATAGAGTCCAAAGGACCCTTTTATGCTAGTTCCGCTAACAGCATCTTTCACTTTTGGTGGTATGTTAATTTGAGGAGTCGCCGACAAAGGGAGTTTGTAGCGATTCAAATTTGTCGTTGACCCCCTTCAATAGCAATTTGTGGAGAATTATGGCCAGACAATTTTCACAATCCCATCCACATATATGCGCAATGGTAGAAAAACAAAACCATTTCGTACACAAGCTTCATTAATGACAATCGAGTAAACTGAGTCACAACTTGAATACTTTAACTTTTCCAAAAACGTTTACACATTCGAGTAACAAATTTGTAAAATTTTTCCAATTCAGGAAGTTTTGGGTTTTTCAGATCGTAATCGGATTTCTTCACTTTGGCACATAACTTTTTTGAACCATGATAAATTTGCGTTTTCTCCGCTTAATTAAAACTCTGATCGATTATTCCTTTCCAAAATAAACCGTCCACTAATTCAATTCACTTTCACGGGAACGCAAGCGTCCCAGCGGCTTCATATTGAACACGTAAAGTTCGCGACAAAACTGATGAAACGCCAGACTTGGCGAGGACTTCGATGGCTGGCGTCCGATATTGTGAGATTTGCTCTGACTAAGGTGCGAAACGAGGAAGGACTGAAACGCAGCTCTTGGCACAGAAACGGGCCAAGCACTTGAACGGCACACGAGCCAAGATAAGGATGCTAGCCGACTGCACACGCAGAGATTCGAGATGCTGGCACTTCAAATTTTAAGAGAATCCCAAACAGTCTGCATAAGCTTTTGCCTGTGCAGCGCATGCCCTATAGTCGTACTGCTCTAACAGCACGCGTACAGTTGCCTGCGGGTGCGAACAGTTCGGCTAGCTTTCTGCTCTGAGAGCACGTCAGGCTGCAAAAGCTTTCCGCTTTGAAACTCAGCAGAGTTGGAATCCTAAAGCAATCTCAAACGAACAATGACAACATTGAATTACCAATGTTGGTCCTGGCTAAGCAACACAAGCTAACACATTTTAGCTAGATAAATACGAAATATAATAGCTGATTAGGTTTTAGAATACATATGTACATATATCTCTGACCGAAAATGCATCCATCTATTGTTTCACATCAGATTTGACAAGCTTTGTTTCGACAAATATTTAAAGTGTGGCTATGCATGTTAGAATAATACAAATGATTACATTAACAATGTGATTAGACAAATAGAAGTAAACATATTCGGACTTAAGGCAAGCCATGTCGAATACATTTAACCCACACCTCAGCAAACTCCTGCTCCCCACCTCCCCATTGGTCGGCTCAGACGGCAGGCCTAAAGACCAATATCATTATAATTCTGAGGCGAGATGCTGATTGAGTCTTAAAGTGATTTAAGTCATTAGGCGTCTAAAGTTTTATTGGTCACGGCGTAACTTTGTGGCAAAACTTTGAGGTTTATGTTTCCCTGTACCTTGTTTATCTGAACGTATCTATTTGCTTAATGCCCGTTTAACAGCACAAATGACAGTGATGCGTTCTTCGGGCCATGTCGCTAACAAGGCTAACTACGCAGAAGTTTGTGTCTGTGTGTAGGCCTTGTTTTGTGTGTATAAACCGATATCAGCAACAATGCCGTTATGATAGAATGTCTCATTTAAAGCTGTCAACCTTGGAACTTTTGTGCTAAGGCTGGGCAACATTTATCTCCTTGTTGTGAATTTCCTAGTAGAAGGTCCACCTGAGAGCGGCTCGTCCATTGAATATGGAAATTGCGATTAGACTAAAAAAAAATAAGGACAAACCAATAGAGAGCGTTAAGGCAGAGCTCTGCCTTAAATTGTGAGCATTTATATATGTTAAAATCCATCAGAAAACCTTTTGCGTGATATATACAAATTAATGAAGCTGTTCGCAAGTATTTGCAATATTTTGTCGAATCATTAGGGGTACTTCATAGTAAAATCCAACAATTAATTAGTCAACCCTCACGTGTTTGAGTATTTACGAATATTTCAGCTATGCACTTGCTGTGACCAAAACAAACTCTTAAATACCAAAAAGTCCACATAAATCGGTCGTTTGATTGCGTGCTTGTCAGCTGCAAGAACATCGCCAAGCTGCATAATGAAATTCATGTTGCACTCTTGGGACTGGTCCTAAACTCCAAATTGTTGGGGTTTGCAATGAAGGAACGCCGAACAAAACCCATTAAATAGTTTCTTAACAAAATAAGGGCTGTCGAGCAGCCAGGACCCAACAAGTTAGGGACCTTCGAAGATGTTGTGGGTGCTGCGTGTGTTGTCACCTAATAAAGGGCGGAGACGAAAACTTTGCGATATTTTGTGATTGTTTCTCGTTAAATAAAAATACCGTCGACGATATTTTGTGGTTGTTTCGCTTTTGGTTTACTCTATTAATCCCTTGTTGGCATTTAAGCAAATGTTTGCTTCTTTGCATACTTTCCTGCTCTTCGCATTTATTGTGATGCGCGCAATTTACAAAATTGAATTTTTCTTTTGCAAACTGCCAGCAGGATACGAGCCACTTATAATGTGTGTTTGTACATATATATATATATATATACATATATATGTGTGTGTATGTATATATGCATGTGACTAAAAGCTCATATCATACGAGACGGCCAAAGTAGAACAAATCTCGGCTTTGACAAAGTTAAAGTAGTGAAGGCTGAGCAAAAATAAAGTTAATTTGATATTAATGGAACAGTTTCAAAGTTTACAAACCCATATGCTTTAGCGGAAGTGCAAACTTTTAATAAAAAATTCGAAAAGAATTTATTATAGAATTTTAAACTAGACAAGTATAATTTATTTTTAGAATATTGAAATAATGGAATAACCAAAAGATTGATTTTAAATTGCTGTCAAACGACTTTTTTTATTTATATATTAAATAAATGTCGAACGGCAAAAAACCGTTTTAGAAAATTGCATTAAGAGATATCATTAAGGCGGATGTGAGAAGTGATGTTCATTGCACATATGTATGGAAGTAAGTATGTACGTATGTATGTATGTACATATTTATGTTTGTATGCTTCCATCTATGTATATGCATTTCCTCTCATACCAATCGCAGTTCAAGTTAAAATAAGCGTATTACTGAGTAATGCCCAACTAAGTGATTCTCATGAATCTAAGTAAGAGATACGCTTTTCGCGATATCTTGGAAGGAAAATGCGGGCTTAATGTGCAAAAGTTTATTTTTCGGCTTCAAGATGTTCAGCACAAGATTAACATGAGTGGAAAGCGTTGGTTCTTAATTCGAAGGACTTTTAAACATATTTTCAAATAAAAGTGGAGCTCAAGGTAGTATGGAGAGAACTAAACTGTCAACCGGCGGAAACAAGGTGAAAAAGGTAATTTATACAATATTAAGTAAAAAACTTGCCATGGTCAATAGCTGGTTAATAGCCGCTAGTTAGTAATAATATATAAATAACGATTGATTTGTTTTGTTTGAAAAAACTTTGCCATATTTAATTGTAATACTAAATGAGCCCTTAAGGATACTAATTGCAATTGATTGAGTGTTTATTTGCCTGCGTGTTTGTTTTTTTAGGGATTATTATGAAATTTGTCACAATGCAAGCACGATACGGCAGCTGTTCGGGAGCACAGCCTGTCAAGTTTCGCCTGCTCAGTGAAGAGTCATCACGGCAGCGCGGTTGCCGTTGTCGCTTGCCGCTTGCCGATCCTTTGGTAACCTTGGCAATTCAATTTGCACGGCTTATAGGCATTTGGCCGAACAATGCCGTCATATGGGCGGATGGCGCTTCTGAATGCCAGGCGTCGCCCTCGACATGCCGACGCATTCGCATTCGCATTCGCATTCATTTGGTAAATGTAAATGAGTCTCCAATTGTCTCTGGCAATCATCAACAACAAGGGTGATGGACGCGATAACCACGGCACCCAACGAGTAATTGTCAGTTTTATTCTGCTTTGTCATTTTAACGAAGTTCCAGCATCTTTAGGAACCAAACGCGCGGAAAACCGATGTTGTGTACTATAATGTCCTTTTGTGTTCTTACATTCGGGTAAATGAATAAAAATAAACGGCTTTTAAACATTTACAAACCCAAATATATTAAAGAACATTTTTTAATGCTTCATAATCTTTTTTGGTAAACAACTTTTGGACAATTATTATTTCGAGGCGCTAATATGTTGGTTATTCCAAAAAAAATATGTTAAAGAATCTTTCTTGCTCTATAAGTGTTTCACTTATTTATAGCGCAAAGGACAGCACGAGATTTGTTTGTTAGTCGCTGCGCTTAAAATGTTCTCACACCTTGCTGCACCTTTTCCTGGCCGACAAAACGGTAGCTTATTCGAAAGTAAACGACAGGATACGAGCAGACCCACCCATTGCCGCAAAGACTCCGTAGCCTTTGACAGCTTTAACCAGCTACATATGGAGCTGGGTGCTGGCCAAGCCCATGTAGCATATGCAAAAGCTCATGGTGCACACATTAAGATGGCGGGCTCCCAGTTGTTGCCGTTGTTGCTGTTGTTGTTTCTTTTGGAGTCGTCTAGACGAACGAATCACGGGGGCAACTGTCCTTTCACACATATGCGGACACCGGACCTCGATGCACGGGCCGGCACGCAAACAAAGCACATGCTGGTTATACTTTGAGCAGATAGCTACTGTTTGCCTGACGCAGTTGCTCATTTCCTTGGCCACCGTCAGCCGCAACGGACCTGCCTGCGGAGCTGCTCCTTTTAACCGGCGTTTTAACATACAGTTGTTTTTACAAGCTCAGTGATTTTGATTTTTGTGTGCATCACAGTGAATACAATTATGTCTTGTAACTCGCTTTACATAGTTATTGGAGCTATAGCGGCTCACGCTGTTCAAAGTCATATAAGCCCGCAAAATGAAGGTGAGATTTTAAAGTGACAAAAAAGGAAACATTTACAAGCTAACAAGTAACACAAAAAAACATTTTTATTAAAATAAATTGAGCGCCACATTAACCGCGCCGTAGAGCTCATGTTTGTGTTGTTACGCAGTGGAACCGTGAATATTCAATGCATATTATTAGATAGAGAGAACATATCCGATTTACATAATACAATTTGTGTTAATATATGTAATACTAGCTTAAATTTGACTTTGTGTATTTTCATATTCATATCTAAGTAGTTGTTGTCAATCTACATATATAATATTATGCGTTTTAAGATAATATTTATGCGAATATTTATTCCCTTCCTGGCTGTTTTTCGGTTTCGAGCTCCGCTTTCGTTGTAAGTGAATGCAACCAAGTGCACCCTGTGCCAAGTTACAGCCGAAATGTTTTCCAAGTTCACATTTTTGCAAAAGCTTTGTACAGCTTTCAAGCTCGAAAGGGATGTCAGATAAAAAGCTGAAGCTTTTAAAGCTGACAAATAGCATCTTCGCGATTTCTCTCGATTGTAAAGCTTTCTCCAGTTGAAAATATTTCATTTGATATTACAAATAATATTAAGAAGTTATTCCTAGAAAATGTAATGCGCATAGATTTGCCATATATTTTCTCAGCTTAAGCTAGATAAATGGAGCCAAAAAAATATTGTTACAACAGTTTCTAATTTATTGAATAATAATTTAATAACG